TAACAGGAATAGCAAAAGAAAGGATGTGATTTTTGCTTTACTTGTTTGCCACTTAAATTCAGCGCTTGACAGGCATATAGATATATATAAAACATAATAGATGAACGTATCTATACCAAAATCAGGCTCTTAACATTATCAAAGTAGAAATTACAAGGGAATGACAATCAGCCTTTCTAACAGGGAGAAAATGAAAAATGGCAAGATGCTTTCTGGAAGGCATACACAGCCTTGCAGATTCTTTTTTAAAATATAGCCTTGTATCTCTCAGATTGGAAAAGATGTTTCCTAAATGCTTAAGTTTTAAGGCCAGCAGAATATACTATTATCATCACCAAGTCACCTCTGCCTCCTTTATTGCACAAGCCACAGAATTTCACCAAGTAACTCCTATATCATGACAGGACTCATTGATCTAAGGCTTATGCTGCATTTAGCAAAACAACTCAAAAAGTTATTTCTGGTGCATTGCTCTTGGAATAACTTTTTTCAGTTCCACTATTCATAACACTGCCCTGGGTTCAGCTGTAACAGTTATTTTTTTCCTTCCTAGTTGATGGTGCAGTGCTGTGTTTCAGCTTTATTCTGAGAACAACACTGATAACACACCAATATTTTAGTTGTTGCTAAGTAATGCTTACCCTGATCAAGGACTTTTCAGTTTCTCATGCTCTGCCAGTGAGAAGGGGCATGGGAAGATGGGATGAAGCAGGGACTGGACACCTGACCCAAACTAGCCAAATGGGTATTCCATACCACAACATATCATGCCCAGTATATAAACTGGGGGGAGTCACCCAGAAGGCCCAGATCACTGCTTGGGTTGAGCTAGCTATTGGTCAGCAGGCAGTGAGAAATTGTACTGTGCATCACTTGTGTTTATTGGGGTTTTTTCCTTTCTCTTTTTATCTTTATATTCTTTCTCCTTATTATTTCCCTTATCATTAGTAGTAGTAGTTTTGTATTATACTTTAGTTACTGTACTGTTCTTATCCCAGCTGTGGGGTTTACATTCCTTCAATTCTCCTCCGTATCCCAGGCAGAGAGGGTGGGGGAGGAGTGAGTGGCTGCATGGTTCTGAGTCACCAGATGGGATTAAACCATGAAAACACCAACAGGTAGACTCTTTTCCAACATATGCCTTAGAGAACCTATAGAGGCTCTACCTACCAGGAGGCAAATTTCTCATGGTGACCTGGTTTTTAGGTTTATTTTACATAGCCTGGCAAGGCAACCTCAATCAATTCTGCTGACACCAAGGCTCTACAACACCTAACAGGGTGTCTTTGAAAAAGCTCATGCAGGGTTGGAATCCTAGATATCAGAATCTAAAAGTACGCAACACAGAAGGGTAAGTTAAAAGTCCCAATATGTTAAGCTTCCAGATTGCTGTAGATCTTTCCAGCTGCTGCCAAGGGATGTAAATTCACAAGATAAAAATATCTTCCAAGTCCTAAGCCATACTCTAGCTTCATCAATTCCAGGAGGAAAGGGGACGAAGAGACAGCCACGCCTCATTGTGACACAGCCCCTTTCCCTCTGCTTGTATCACACTCGTGCTTTTTCACTTTTTCCCTTTGCTCTCCTCAGTAACTATGACCGACAGCAAAAATAATATTGCTTTAAAACATACTAGAGAATCTATCAAATGTAGCTGTTTCCTTCCCATGGCTGTGTCTTTCCTGGAGCATATTTTAGGATGGGGGCAAGTATCCCATCCAGAGCAGGAAGAGCCAGAGCACCAGGCTATGCTGCCTTCTGACGGTAAGATGAAAGGTGGCCTGGCAGAACTTTGCCACAGCTAACGCTTGTGACTTTACTGGGTAAGTACATCTTGTAAGCTCTATCTTGCTCTATCTTGCAGACTTCAAAGAGAAAGAATAAGAAAAAAAGTCTATGAGGTGAAATTATATAAGCTACAAATAAATGAGACTCTGTCTTCCATTCGCCAGAGCTGAAAAAGTGCAGTTCATGACAAGGTAGGAAAAAGAAGTGTGCTTACAAAATCCCTAAGAATGGGGTTATTCCAATATTTTGAAATATTCTTTTAGCAGCATTAGGAAGGACAAGACTTGCCATCTGAATACATGTATTATAATTACCAAAAAGAAACCACATGTCTCTTAAGATGAAGTGTAACAGCCACTTCATAATGTACGCTTCCTTCAGTGTGAATATATTGATGCCCTGTCTCTGCAAAGTTACTGATTCAGTAGGGACAAATGCAATACTATTTTTTTTTTTTAATTCAGAAATATCTTTATCTTTTTTTTTCTGTTGCTGTTCCTCTCTCCACTTTCACCCTTTCCTAAAAGCAATATACTAGTTAAAAAAACAAACAAACAAAAAAAAAGTTTATTTTAGATGTTGTTATCCTCCCATAACTTTCCATTACAGAAAATTTATCCATATTTGTTTTAACATATGCAATAAAATCTGCACTTGTAAATATAATAACACTATACAGTACCCTATTAAAGCACACTACCTTATTAAAGCTTATCAGATACTACTTATGCACAACTGGTATTAATCTTGGTATATCCCTCGAGGGGAAAAAAAACATGTTATTGACCAGGGATAACAATTATCTCAAGCTAGACAATTGGTTATGGAAATTTTGGGTTTTTTTGTCATGGGGTTTTATCATGGTAACTTTGACAGAAACTCACAACAGAGACATTTAACCACCATTCTGGTATTTTCAGAATTATGAGACTAGAACCCATTTTTTATCATATTCAGGCTCATTATTTCAACAAGATGGTTCAAGAAGCATGGTAGTCTGTTCACGTAAGGGGAAACTTCCAGAGCATCAGTTTTTATGATGTACCACAGTATATCAATCTCCCCACAGAAGACCTTTTATATGTTTGTGGATTTTTTTAGAATACAAAAATATCTAAAAATACATACATATCTACATATACACAAAAAAATATACAAGTCATATAACCTTTGTTGTCAATGGGATTGTTTAAGAGAAATGCCTGTCTTCAGTCTACTCAACTAACAGGTGTTTATTCTAACTGTTACTGTTCCTCACTAAAAACATAGTTGATTTACAACATGTATTAACTACCTAAAGTGGCAATTGGTCAGGATTTTTCAGAAATACCTCGTGATTTTAGGTCCTTCAATTTTTCAGATATTCAGAGGAGGAAGCAGGATTAACCGTATATTAGGGATTTTTAAAGTGTGTACATGAGTTACAGGCAAGCAAACAAGGTACAATAGTGAAAGTTGGTGCAAGCCAGGCATTAAAATCTAATTAAACTAAATCAGTAAATTTCACTGTTGATGAGCTTTGGTTTTGTTTCCTCTTCTGAAAACTGGGTTTTGGGGTGTCAGACTCTGAAGGGTGACTCATTGGATTTGAGCTGCTTTTTCAGAGAAATAACCAACCAGCTAATTTCATCATGTCTGTGTCCCTGCAAAGTTGTCAGGGAAATGCATATTTCCAAGGGGAAGAAAGCCAATTACTGCCGCAGAGGTTATGCATTTACCAGACGTATGAAATAAGCATCTCTGAGTATTGTCGGGGTTTTTTGCTTCATCTTTCACTGAGCTCCTGTCTATTTGCTCTTGAGTACAAGACACCCACATGCCATCCAGCAGGAGCCTGATAAGCAGCTTTATGCACATCAGAGAGCACTGGAGTTTGAGGAGACCAGCAGGTTCCCGGTTGAGAGCAGCATTCTGTGTCCTTCACAGCACCCCACTGATGAGAGGAACACCATCCCCTCAAGTCTCCCTTCCATGAGGAACTGTTGTGTCTACCAGCAACATAATGGTGCAGATGGCATTCAAGAAATCAGACATTGAACCACAGAAAGCAGCTCAACTCTCAGCTCCATTAGCACCAAATTCTGCTCCTGTCCTATGCCATACAGTGAAAAATTAAAAATATTTGTGCTGAAAGCCAACCCTGCAGACCAAGGCAGAAAGTAGGTTTATTTTCAGCAGGCACCTGACAATGCATGGTCTAAGAAGGCTCAGCTTTGTTGTAATCCTTTTTATTTTACCAAGGATAATCCCTCCTCACTGCACTCTATAGGCCTATTGTGCTATAGAAGGTAATGCTAAAATGAAACAGAATAGTAAAGACAATAGAGCCTTGTACACATGAATATTGTACTAATCAAGAAAAAAGAAAGGCAAGGGGGTGGGGGGAGAAGTCAAAGAAAAAAAAGTAAAAGGGAAAATTTTCTCTAACTAGCCTGTTTCTTTACACTCAATTCAGGGAAATTAATTCCTTTATGTATTGATAAAATATTTCTACAAACTCTTTGAAAGCTGACAGCAGAAACTTGCACATATCTCCCACTTCTATGGCAACAAACCCCTAAATTGGAGTAAGAAGTCCAGAGGTGGTGATATTTTAAGATCTGCGTAAAAAAAAAAGTTTCAAAAGTCAGAATTATGGATGTGTATATGAAAAGGGAACACTTATGTAGCAGGTCATTTCAAAATTTAGCAAAACACCAAGTATTGTGAGGTTAATTAGAAGTTAAGATGAAACAAAATAATCAAGGAACAATTGTACATAATGACAGAGAAACAAACCCTTCTTACTTAAGTTCAGCACCAAGATGAAGGAAACTCTGTATGAACAAAACCATAATGATTGATCTAAGATCGTAGCCCAACTATCCTCCCACTGATGGAAGCAAGTTGAGATTGGACATAAGTAAGAGTGAATGCTCCATCCTTGGCAGTGCTGCAAGCCAGGTTGGACAGAGCCTTGGGTGACATGGTCTAGGGTGAGGCATCCCTGACCATGGCAGGGGGGTTGGAACTAGATGATCTTAAGGTCCTTTCCAACCCTAACTATTCTATGATTCTATGATTATTCAAAGGAGCAATGCTACAAGACAGAAAAAGTGTATCTGTGCAAAATCATGCCTGAAATTCAGTTTTACAAAAGGAAGCAAATATTAATGACAAGTAACAAGATATGACAATCTAAAATACATGTAAAAAGGCTGTATGAAGGGAAAACCCCTACAGGCAATTTATATTTCAAGTGGCTACTCAAATGATTAAGTGGAGAACATTAAGCAAAAGGAAAAATGAGGGAAAACAAACTGGGACAAAATACCAGAAGAGTAATACAACACTCACAAAACCTGAAAGTGGAAATTGGAAAGGGAGAAATGCATGTTTATATTTTGAAAAGCAGAGACATGCTTAGGATGTACAGCAAATGTGAAGGAGTAGTGTCGTGGTTTAAACCAAATCAGGCAACTCATTCACTCACCTCCCCCCCACTTCTTGCCCTCCCCCTACTCCCAGAGGGATGGAGAATCGAAAAGAATGCAACTCCTACGGGTTGAGATAAGAACAGTTTAGTAACTAAGGTATAACACAAATCACTACTGCTACCACCAATAACAATAATGATAAAGGAAATAACAAGGGAAGAGAATACAACACCTCACCACCAGCCAACCGATAACTCACCCCCCCCCCCCCCCCCCCCCCCCAGCCTGACCAAGCACCGACCGATACCTCCTCCAACTCTGCAGTCTCCCAGCCCTTCCGGCTAACTCCCAGTTACCTCCTGGGCATGACGTGCTGTGGTATGGAATACCTCTTTGGTCAGTTTGGGCCAGGTGTCCTGTCTCTGCTTCCTCCTGGCTTCCCCTCCTCCCTGGCAGAGCATGAGGCTCACAAAGTCCTTGGCCAAACCAAAACATCCTTGTTATCAGCTCTGTTCCCAAGCCAAAGTCAAAACACAGCACTGCACCAGCTACCAAGAAGGAGAAAAATGACTGCTACTGCTGAACCCAGGACAAGTAGCTAGACAATAGTAATCATAAACAATTTACTTTTTTAAGTAGGATGGTGGACATACATAGGTGGACATAAAGAGACTACAGCTAATCAGAATAAATACTGAAAATCACAAGGGGAAGTGGATGGGATAGAGTCATAGAGTGGGAAAGTACAAGGGGAAATTGAGAATGCAAAATAATTAATATATGCCCAGTTGCTCTGTGGCTGTACCAACAATGAATGGACTTTTAGCGAAAACCAGACTGATGAGCAAGTAGTACAAAAAGTAAGTGAGTATAAAAAAAAGGATTAAAGAAGGATTATAGAATTAAGTTTTCAAACAGATCAAGGAAAAAAGCAGAAGACAAAAATGAAAGGTAAACTGCACAAAAGGTTAAAAAATACAACAAAAGATTTTTAGAAATTGAAGAAGGAACCACTGTAACATAGAAGTGTTTATCCAGTCCAGCCTCTTTTTGTCATTAATAGATGTTGAAATCAATGAGATCAATGGGTTCAGCTGAAGCATTTGAGTCACTTATTCTCTAATAATAGATGAAAGCTGTTTTAAGCTGTGGGCTAGATGACTAGTGTGATGCCTGAAAGCAATAGCGCAAGGAGAAATAAAATGCTTTCTTTACAATGTGTTTATTTTGTGTATTTGTCAGTACTTGTGAATTATCCACATCATTGGTTTGCTGACAGTTTGCCCCCTTTCTTCATCTCTGCAAAACAAAAGCGTATGTCAATAAAAGCAGTACCAAGCCTGGAAGTGAAAAGGTAACAGAAAAGGTGTATAATACAGAAAAGTGTAAATAATTTATGTTAAGAAATGTTAGGCATGCTGCAAACACAGGTTACCCTCAAAGATAAGCTCTGCAGATGAATCTAATAACACAGTGTGACTTCATGTGGTGTAGGCATGTCATATCCCAGTAAGTCAAGAGTTGCAACCCTGAAATACTAGCTCTCCTAAATAGTCAAAAGTAAGAGAGTAAAAATCACAAAAATGCTGCTAAAATCAGAAAACAACTGAATTATCTCAGAACAAACTATACTTGTACTCCATTTCTAACAGACCGTTTGTGCCTACTTCTGATTATTTTGATAAAATTTGCACATACCACTAAGTCCTTTAAGAAGAAGAAAGACCCCTATCCTGTTTGAAGGATTTTGAGTCCTCTTCCTGCTCTCAGCCACCTAACAGTGACTCATTTTCTTCTTAATGATCGCAGGAAATGTTCAGTTCTTGAGTTTGCAAGAACAAAAACCATCTCAGCTTTTTGATCCTGTGGCTGTTTACTCTAAAAGCTATCAGTTTAATAGGTTCTGAGTTTTGTTCATATATATATGGATAGCACATAGTAGGATATTCAAACAGTGATTTGGAATTGAAACCTTCAGGTAGAAAGGTTGAGAGGTATACAGCTTGAGAAAAGACAACATCCATAAAATTTTGACCACATCTAGGGTGCAGAGGAAAAAACTTATAAAGTCATAGCACACAGCTTAATAGAATTTAAAATATTCTATAGCCCACAAAGCAGGGAATCAAATATAAAATGAAGAAAATAGATCCATCGCTAGGCAAGTAATAGAGAATAAGATCATATTTGGAATAATGGTCATCATTCTAGTCACCTTATTACGGAAGCACTGAAACCTCATTGGCTGACACCTGAATCGAGGTGGTTTTGGATGTCGTCCTGTTTTTTCCATTATTAATTTTGTGCTCAAGGGCAAATGCCAGCAGTGCTCATTTTAGTTTTTACCTCCTGCTGCAACTTCAACTGTCAGAGAGACAGCAGGAGTCAAAAATGAAAGGAGCCACCTTACAGAAATGCTGTGCCACTATGTCATTTTTAAACTGACAGCTTTTTACAGTCCAATTTCTCAGGGAAAGAAAAAAAAGACTTTCATTTTCACCTCCCACTGCTGCTTTGACAGAGAAAGACATTTACCCAGGTTTGAATGCTGGTAGGAGGCAAAAATGTAAAGCTGCGTCAGAGTGTTTGTAAGTGGGCTTTGACTACCCCGTAGAAGGATAAGCTGATTTGGGACAAGTTGAACTCTAACCTTTGCTTACCAGGTGGCAAAAGAGAAAAATGCACCCACCTGTCTTTAATGCAATAGATGGAGACTATTCCATACATGAGTATAGAATGAGCCAGATACACCGAAGGATTTCAGTTAATCTGAAAACATAAAATTGGCTGGTTTAATAGTTCTTGGCCTTCAAGAAATTGGCAATTGAGAAGATTCTTCAGTAAGAATAACCATTGAGGAAGGTAGGAATGTCTAAAAGGAGGAATTTAGGAAAAAGATAGAATGATGCTCCCTTTACCAGTAATATATAGCAAAGAAAATCCCTCCCACTCAAGGGACTCAGGGAAACAAGCTAAGAAAAAACTGAATGCTGAAGAACTACACAGAGTAATTTTTTGACAGTTATTAACATAGTACATACTAAAGCAAAATATTTGTGATGGTGGAAGCAAAGTAATATAGAACAATGACATCAAAGTATATCTACAAGAGATTCGTTTAGGATCATAATCTATCTAGCTTCTATGACATGTATAGTATTTAGAAAATGCAGAATCCAATAACAATAAAATCTAGCAATAAAATATAAAATTACTGCTCACTGCTGGATTCTGTTTTTCATTTTCAAAGTATCTGTTACATACTCTTGTGAGCTCAGTGTTCAAATTAATTGCAAGTGACAGTGTTACTCAAGCTACAGAAATTAATCTGCTATCATTTAAAACTGTCTATTGTTAATCTTGTATTCCTTGTTTTGGGTTTCTGCTTCTGCCAATGTCCATGACCTTGTCAGGCTTAGAAGGATGTACTTGACTAGAACATGCAAAATGTTTGGCTCTCAAGGACAAGAACACTGAGTGTCTCCAAATGCATTGTTGAGACTGGCTATCTAGAATAGCAACAAAGCTGTGGTATCTGGAAAAAATGGATGCTTTCCAAGAAAAACAGCATATATATACATATATATGGTATACAATTATATATACATATATATGGTATACAATTATATATACATATATGCATACATATATGTATTCAAAAATACAAAACTGTAAATCTAAGCCTTTTACTGAAAACAGATCATTGACTGTAATGATGTCTCAATTTATAATTAATGCCATGGGTCTGGCTCCACATCCTTTTTTCAAGTACATGGGATAGCAAAACTGTATTCCAAGTCTTTTAGATGTTATACTTTTACACATTTTATTTTCTGTTTTTTCATTAGGATGATTTTGAAATCCTATTTCGTTCACCTAAGCTCATTGATAAAACCTTCTTGTTATTATCTCGAATCATAGAATGGTTTGGGTTGGAAGGGATCATCTAGTTCTAACCCCCCTGCCATGGGCAGGGACACCTTCCACTAGACCAGTTGCTCAAAGCCCCATCCAGCCTGGCCTTGAACACTTCCAGGGATGGGGCAGCCACAGTTTCTCTGGGCAACCTGGGTGAGAAATTATACTTTCTTACCTTCTAATAACTTCACATGAAGAAAGTTACTTTCAAGTCCCTCCTGCCATTTTCCAAGATACTCAGGCAGCTACTTAGGAACCACAGTCCCCTTTTCCCTACGTTTCATTTTCACAGAACACAATATCTAAAGCAAGTGAGCTGGCATACACACATACTCTCTCGTACAGTTGATTCTGTGATAAAAGGTAGGGAAACAATTCTCACCAAAATTGCCTTGAGTATTTCTAGACCTTATTGTTATAAAAGAAAGCTTGAAAACATGAATTGGGCAAAAAATGATACAAGTTATGTCTGCATAAATGCCCTTATAATATGAAACATTATTAGTTGTAGTTCTGAAGGGTCTACTGGTGGAAACATCAAGATAATAATAAGCAATACACAAAGATAATGAAAAAGGTAAAACATTATTAAATACATAAAATAAGCAGCAGTTAAGTGGCTGAACCGGAGCTTCTGAACTAATTGAATAATCACTGCCCAATTAATTTCTTATTCTTATTCTTATTCTTTCTTCTAATTTGCAATGTAAGGTTCAAAATTCCTGTTAGAGCAGTATACAGACATCTTAGAGCAGAATTTGAATCCAGTTTCACTGCATAAATCTTGCAAGAGCTAAACAAAGAAGCACAGAGAATTGATACATCATCATCTTTTAAATACCCATACAGTCTGCTGAGAGTATCATTTTATGTAGAAGGACCTTATTTTGTAGTGGCTAAAGAGGGTGCAATTATCTGCTTTTCCTCCTTTCCTGGTTAGCCAGTGCTCCAGAGAAATAGAAAGGCAGGTAGCTGGAGTGGACCAGAGGAGGCTCTCAGGAAATAGGGAAGGAAGAAGTATTCAGGATAAATGGAGCAATTGTCTCACAGATGTGAATGTCTGAAATGGAGTAAAAGAGCCCAGATATGTTCAGAGGTAATTGCGTGGAATAACAGAGATTGGTTTCTCCTAAGTAATAACCTTAGGGAAGAGAAGGTTTTTACCACTGATAGCAAAAGCAAGGCAGGTTGCAGAGAAATTGCATAAAGAAGGGATTTGAGTTTGGGTTTTCTTTTCCTCTCATGTGCTTAATCCAAACTTCTCTCAGTTTCTATCTGAATTCAGGTTAGCTTACTAAGCCTCACGGCCTTCCCCACTTACTGTACCACCTTTTAGTGGTATGTTTGTTCCTGAGTCAGTTTTGGACATCAGCTTTGGAAAGGAGCATATCTGTGAAAGTATCTGCATACCCGATGATTCCAAACAGAGCCCAGTGGAATTTCACTTGTTTCCCACAAATCAATCAAGCACAAAATGAAATCAACAAGCACTAAATGAATCTGGTTATTTGGAAAAAATTCTGCTATGTACCCTTTTTGGTTTAGAGTTTTAAAACTTCTGTTTCTTAACCAGGCTGATAAATCCAGAGGCCAAGTCAAACCAAATATATGCTGGCTGTATAGTTAAAGGGAGGCAGAGGGAAAGAGGAGGAAGATAAAAGGAAAAAAAAATGGAGAAGAAAAAACCCCCGAAACAATATTAGTTTTGACTTTGCATAGACACCTCCTGATAAGAATTTTAATACAACATATATAAGGTCCAAATTCCTCTCTTATTTGCACTGTTAGCTAGAGGAAATGTTTTGACTGACAGGAAGTCAGTTCATGTTCTGATATACAGCTTTTCATTACTACAGTGTTATATAGGTTCAGCATGAATCCCCGAGAGCAAATCCCTAGTATATCCTAGCACATTGTTCTTTTCACTCCTGACGGCTGAAATCCTAA